GGAGAAGGTGGGTGAGGCAAGCCTGCTGTATAAGCCCATCAAGAAACACACTGGGGTGGGGATGTGGCTCAAGCGGTAGCGCGCTCGCCTGGCATGCGTGCGGCCCAGGTTCGATCCTCAGCACCACATACAAACAAAGATGCTGTGTCCGCCGAAAACTAAAAAATAAATATTAAAAAAATTCTCTCTCTCTCTCTCTCTTTAAAAAAAAAAAAGAAACACACTGGTCTTGACCTGAGAACAGCAGGAAGTCACTTTGATGTGGAAGAACGGCTCATTTTGATAAAAAAATTAAGGCACAAAAGTGGACCTGGATTTGATTCCCAGCACTACACACACATACACACATACACACAAATTTATATTTCTCAAATATCCAAAGGACCTCAAGGCCAAGGGTTGCAAATGCTGAGTCTAACAAACAACAGTAATGGATGTAACAGCAGATCATCCAAGATGCACCAACCTAAGGGCACTTCCTGGCATCCTGGCCAGCCCAAGCACCCAAGCACCCAAGCACCCATGCACCAAGAGCCAACAATAGTTACCTTCCTCCCTCCCCATAATGAAGCAGGGAGTGCAGGCAGAACAGACCTTCCAAGGGACAAGTGGGAAGCAAAGAAGACCAAGAGAACCCTGAGGCCTCCAGTAACCTCTGAAGTGCCAAGTATAAAGCCTGCTTTGCAGTTCTAGCCACCCTGAGGAGCACTTGACACACAAGATCGCACTCCCCTGGGCCCTCCCTCCTCATTCTCCTTCAAAAGCTGATGTTCAAGTTGGGACTTCTGTTCAAGGGTGACACATACCTGTGCCCCACACTCATTCATGCCCATGCTAGGTCTCCTAACTTCCAGATCCAACATCCAGCTTCAGGAACTCTACTTAGATGACCCACAGTTCACCAAACCAACAAGACCAAAACATCACAAGCTGCCTAACAGTTTCCTCTTCCTCCTGAAAGATGTCCACCAGTACACTCTCTCACTAAAGCCCAGTTGCTTCCATCTCTTAAATGACTCTCAAAAGCAGCTCTCTGCCCCACCGATGCTGTTTTCCTCAGTCAGACTGAACTGCAGATGCATCCTGCTGGTGTCCCTCATTTCCTTGATGCTGTCTGGGCACTCCTCCCACCTCAAACAGTCCCCGCACTAACACGGTGCTTGATAATGTTAGCAGTATTGCCTACTTTTATGGAGAGGCACTGTTCTAGAGTTTTGCACATACTCTACGAGATTCTTAAATCATCTGCATTTTAGAGGTGGGGCAATTAAGGCATGAAGAGTTTGTTCACTTGCCCAATGCCACAGTCAGTGAACCTGGTTTAAATCCACTTGGCCCCAGAGCCCATGCTTTAACCATTAAGTTCTACTGCTGCGTAACAAATGGGATCTGTTTGAGTGAAGAGTCGACCTCATCAAATGAGATAGAGATAAAAAGCACCCACACAATTTTGCAGTCAAGACATCAACAATAACGTAAAAAAAAAAAAATCTTTCACTGGAATGACAGAAGCAGAAAACAGATTAGGAAGGGCTAAGGAGAGACAAAATAGCATTCCTAATATACCAGGCACCCTTCCAAGAATTTCACATACAAATTTTTTAATTTTCCCAACATTGCTAGGTAGACATTACTATCCTCATTTTATAAAAGAGGAAACTCAATCAAAAGAGGTTGAGTAATTTGTACAAGGTCACACTGCAAATAAATAGCAGAGATGGATTCTGACTTGCTGTCCGACCCCAGAAGCCATACCATCAATCACAACACCAGGGTTTATAAGAGTCAAATGCCAAATTGAAAAACAAACCAATTTCACAGATCATAGACACACACGGTATAGTTTAGCATGGACTTCAATAAAAGTGCAATTAAATAAACTGTTTTGAAGTCTGAAATGTTCCATCAAGGCATACCTCATGAGAGCATAAAGCACTCTCTTCTGCCAGTGGTTTCTTGCGTCTCACTCAGATAAGATTTGTAAACTCTTCGTAAACTTGTGATAATTCAAAGTGATCAAAAGAGAAATTATAACCAAAGGCATAAAGCTGAAATTCTGTGGCTAAATGGCAGTTCAGACAACAGTATTCTCATAAAGACAAAATGAAAGGACACAGTCTACAACCATTTATTTTCAAATTTCAGATTTTAGCTGGATTTTTACTCACAATTAATGTACTTATGATTCCATTTTTAAGTACATGACATGAAACCATGGCAACTTCCGACATGCGCTTCTCTTATTTTTAAAAAAGTAAATTCACCATAGTTCCAAGACTAAAAAAATAATTTATTTATGTCTTTTTTTTAAACTAACTGACCATCTTAAACAAAATTAGAAGTATTCCTATACTAAAAATTAATGTTTTGGGGCTTAACTAACAGATATTCAAGAAAATAAGTCATGAGAGATGCTGAGATTAGATGAATGCTCCAGGCACAATATAAAATCTTATAACATTAAAACTCAGTGTAAATATCAGGAAATATTTTGAAAATTATACTTGTAACCAAAAGCACAAAAGCCCAACTGGCAAATAGCCATGCTTCAAAGACTGCCATGTGGCTCCAGGATTACACTCAGGTAGAAAATTACACAGAGAGAGCTACAGATCTTTGTAAAACTATTTTAATCTGGGCCAAGACAACTTAAGGATTTCCAAGTTTACCCAAATAAACCCTACACATTCAGGTTGCTAAAAAGTCTCTTTTTAATGCCCTCTTACAAGGTAATGGAATTCTGTAGCATATAAATACTGAAAAACCTTCCACAGAGCCACCACTCTTGTAATGTGTTATACGTGTCCCCCAGCAGGACCATTTTTTCAGATGTTTGTAATGAGGAAAAGCTAGAACATGAGTGGAGAAGGAGGAAGAGTGGAAATCAGCATCAAACAGGGAAAGTGGAGCATTTCTGACTGTGCTTAAAGAAAGCTGAGCCTGAAGCCAGTGAGACCCTGAGATCAATCATGTTCCAACGTTAGCAACCTGGTATTCTGTCTGAATGGCTTCAAAAGTTCTTCAACAGCACCGAGTAAGAGAAACAAACAGACTCTCTGTGAAGTGGGCAAGATGTCACTACAAACACTCAGGAACCAGGGGCAGTGGCACACATCTGTAGCCCAGCAGCTCGGGAGGCTGGATCCCAAGTTCAAAGTCAGTTTTAGCAACTTAGCAAAACCCTCAGCAACCTGATGAGACTCTGTCTCAAAATAAAAATAAAAAGGGCTGGGTTGTGGCTCAGTGGTTAAGTACTCCTGGGTTCCCAGTGCCCCCTCCCCCACAAAAAAATGGAAAAGAAAAACTCAGGAGACAGCTAAAGGACTTACATTTGTCATTTGGCCACAACTGCTTAGACCATATTAGAACCCTGCTCCTGCAGATTACTCATGGGCACTGAAACACTCACAGACACCAAATTTAATTTCCCAGTGGTTAATACCAGACAGGAATGACAATCAGCATCTTTTACTGTCCTTAAAATAAGTTAAACACTGCTTTTTGTCACAGACTGCCTAATAAAATAAGACTTATCAAATGGAAACAACTCTTTATAACCAAGTAATCAAACAGAAATGGGGCTGGGGCTGTAGCTCAATGGCAGAGTGCTTGCCTAGCATGCATGAGGCACTAAGTTCAATCCTCAGCATCACATAAAAATAAAAAACAAAATAAAGCATTCTGACCATCTGTAACTACAAAAGAAAGGGGAAAAAAAGAAATCAACCAGAAACCAGCCGAGTAGTTAATATTTGCTTCTGTCTCTAACATTTAACCCTAACCAGCTGCCTCTGCCAACACTGTGAGGCACCTATTGCCACAAACTAGGGTGCTCTGTCACAAACTGACCGCGCTTTTTCATTTTCCCAGCTAATTTTCAATGACCCAAATCCTCCAGATCTTTCTAGGTCCACCTGAAAGGTCACTTTTACTAAGCTTTTCCTGAACCTAACAAAATCCCTAACAGCAGTTATAGCCCTATGACAACTCGGTCCCGCCACATTTTATAGGTTATTGCTTCCTCGCAGACAGAAACTATATTTACATTTCGCTAGCTCTCTCCTCCATGGAGCACCTGCTGCTGGAGCCCAAAAGCAGAATAATGAGCATCTGGTGACCTTAGTCCCCCGATTCCAGTCTACCTGGACAGAAATCCTAGTAGGCCCTTTACTACAACGTCAGCACACCACGTCCTAGTTCCTGGGACGTAAGCCACCAAGTGGGTCTCGGTGTGCAGAAGGTCTGTTTCTTCCCAGAATCCTCAGACGAGGAAGTAGAAAGCACTCCTGCCTGCTAAACACTGACGCTGCACTCACCGACGACCGGCGTGCGGACGCCCAGACCCCCGCAGACCAAAGGGGCACCGCGGGCACAGACAGGCGGAGGCTCACCCCCGCCCGGGAGATGATCTTCCCACTCCCCGCGGAGGCTCCCCAGGGCTGGAGTGCAGCAGTCGGGCCGGGCTCCGAGGCAGCCCCCTGGGTCACCCGCGAGGGCGGAACCTGCTAGTGGAGATTTCCTCCGACCAAAGCCGCTCCGCAGCCGAGAGGGCGGCTGGAGGAGCACCGCAGGCCCGACCGCACGCTCCACGGCGCCCAACCGTGCAGACAACCCGCGGGAACAGAGCCGGAGCCGCCCGCCCAGGACCGGCGTCTGCACACGCCGCGCCGAGCGCCCCTCCCCTCCCACGGGCGTCCAGCCTGCAAACTGCGGCGCCTCAGGCGCCACCGGAGTCAAAGCCGACGAGCGGCCCGGGCTCGGTCCTCCTTACGGCGCCCCATCGCCCCCTCTCCCCGCTCGGCTCGGCCCGCCCGGCCTCCAGGTCCCTCCGAGCTCACCGTCTCCAGCCTCCCTGCCTCCCCCCGGCCCCCCGCCTCGCTCCTGGCCCTCCCGGTCTCCCTGCCCGGGCCCGCTGCCTTCCAGGCCTCCCCTCTCTCTTCCGACCGTCCCGGCCTCCCTCTCCGCCCTCTCCGTCCTCCCTCCCGACCCTCTCGGCTCACCCTCCAGCGGGCCGGCGGCTGGGCGGACGCCCCGGCCGCGCGGGGCTCACAGGCGGCGGCGCGCGGCGGGCCCGCGGTCTCCCGGCACCATTCTCCCCGCCGCGCCGCGCCGCGAGGACAAGAGCCCAGCCAGCTCCCGCCGCCGCAGTCGGCTCCTCACGGGTTCCAGCCGCCGCGGTTTCCGGGTGAAAAACACCCACGCCACTGCCAGCGCTGCGTGCCCCCGACGCAGGCGTAGACGGCGGCGCGGCCAGGACAAGCTTCCTCGGAACGTGGTTCGGGGCCCCGCCTCCCGGCAGGGCGCACCCCTAGAAGCCTGCGTGGCATACGCTCGCGTACCCGCGCGAGGGCGTGGTGCGCGTGCGCAGTGCATCGGCGTGCAGTACGCAAAAGTGGGTGTGCGCACGTAGCGACTCCGTTCCTGTGCGCCTTCGGGGTGTGCTGTACGGTTCTGGTGCAGGGGACAGGGCGGACGCGATCTCGATCGCGAATGCAGTGACTGCACTCTTGTGTTCATGCCGACTGTGCTCCTGTGGGCGAAGTGCCCCTGTGAGAGCGCGGTTGTTTGCCTAACGTGCGTGAAGCCCTGGACCGCGGTCCCAGCACCGCGAAAGAAAACGGTGGACGAGTGTGGTCTTGGGCGATCAGTCTGTCCAGTGCTCGGGAACGACCGCATACTAAGGCGCGCACGATCTCCCGTGGGGGCGCGTCACCCCAGGAGGCGCTCGGACGTGGGCCCCCGCGGGCCTCACCGAGTTTCCATCAGCGCCTCTGCGGTCGCTGGACACTGCGGGTAAGCAACAAGTGCAGACGGACTTGGATATGCTCGCGGGTGACTGACAGCGGCGCGGGGAACCCTGAACCAAGGTCGTGCGACGGTGGGCGTGGATCTCATCACACTGCCTGGAGGATAGCACAGCGCAGGACGGTCACTGCAGCGACTCCAGTACCGGATGTTCCCAAACGTGCAGATCCAGTCGCATTGCTTAGAGATGCACACGGAACTGGCGGGATCAACACAAAGCGCGTTAGATGCACAAACTTCAGGTCAGGTGTTAGGAGGGAGAGTTGAGGGCTGTGGCGCAGTGGTGGAGCGCTTGCCTAGCATGCATGAGACCCTGGGTTCGACCCCAGAAACCAAATAAAAATCAACATAAAATAAAGGTATTGTGTCCACCTACAACTACAAAAAATATTTTTTTTTTACAAAGAGGGGGAGTTGGGAGGGGGAGGAGCTTCCAGAGCCCTTCAGCGCCTGCGAGGTGTTCTAGAAAGGTGATGGGTACATGATTACTTACTGAATTGTTGCGTTTACGTTTTATATATAGCACTTCGTATCTACTAAATATTTAATTTAAAAAAACAACATTATTATTCACCATTTAGCTGGAAAGTTGTAGGGTGTGCAGAAGACAGTGGCACATACTAATTAAAGGCATACTAAGTTCCTAGATATCTTTTTTTAATTTCTTAATTTTTCATTCCTGGTATCACTACCACAATTTACAGGGCATATACCTGAAGTAATGAAAAGAAAGAAAGACAAAGCTACAACAGATAAAAGACCCTGGGAACGTACATCTAATTGACTTTACATTACATTAACAGCTGCGCTTTTTGCAAACTGTGACCTGTCGGCCTGGACAAGAAGGGTTTCCATGGGCTGGGGTTGTGGCTCAGTGGTAGAGCGTTTGCCTTGCCTGTGTGAGGCACTGGGTTCGATTCTCAGCACCACATACAAATAAATGAATAAAATAAAGGTCTGTCAACAATTTTAAAATATTTTTTTTTAAAAAAAGAAGGATTTCCTGTGTGAGCTGCAGTAACTTTCCTGACTATGGATCATGGTTCCAGCTCCTCTGATGCATTTGGGGTGATGGTCTCAAAGTAACCTGCAGCTTTCCTACTCCCCTGCTAAGAACTGCAGCCCTTTTTGTTTTTATTTTTATTTTTTTTAAAGAGAGAGTGAGAGAGGGAGGGAGAGAGAATTTTAATATTTATTTTTTAGTTATCAGCGGACACAACATCTTTGTTTTGTATGTGGTGCTGAGGATCGAACCCAGGCCGCATGCATGCCAGGCGAGTGTGCTACCGTTGAGCCACATCCCCAGCCCCGCCCTTTTTGTTTTTAAAACCTTCTATACCATACCCTCCACTTCCACCAGCAGATCATAACCACCATAAGGACTTCCAGAGTCTTCCCCCAAATTGCCCACCTTCATGGGTACATAATGTGATTGCTGTGGTCCAAAATCATCCTAGCTCCTCCCACAATAGTGGGATCTTCACACCTCCACCACCACCACTGTATCCATTGCCTTGGTCTCCATATCCTGATCCACCACCACTAAAGCCTCCTCTACTGCCTTCACCAGGACCATCACTCCATGTCCTCCTCCATAACTCTGATCTACCACCTCCACCACCCAAGACTCTCTTCCACCAAAATTTCCTCCAAGACCGAAAGCACCTCTGACACTCACAAGCTGTGGGGTCCACCTCCTGAGCTCTTGTGGCCCAGGAGACTCCATCTCTTGTTTAGAAAGGGCTTTGTCTCCGCACAGTTCTGCCCATTACAGTGTCGTATTTCTGAACAACACTTTATCAGCTGGATCAGGAAACTGAAAGATGCAAAAGCGAGTCCTCTCTCTTCCACTGTACCTGTCTTCTATGATGTCTATGGTTTCAATCTTGCCATAGTTTCCAAAATAGTCTCTCAAGTTATATTCTTCTGTATCTTCTTCAATACTAACAAAAAAAATTTCACTGACAGACGAGCATCAGGCTTTATAAAACCTTCTCTGAAAACAGCTCTCTCTGGTCCTGCTGCATCCACCTCTTCAACACAGCAGGTCATAAAACCAAAGCCCCACAGAATGTTCTATTTGGGCTCTCGTTACCACAGAATCTGAGTGTGTCCCATTTCTCAAAATGTTCTGTAGGTCTGGGAATGTGGCTCTGGTAGAGTGCTTGTTTAGCATGCGCCAGGTTCAATCACAGCAGTGAAAGAAAAGTTTTCTCTAAACTATCACATGTGGTTTCAAAGTTCAGACCCCAGCAAACAGCTTTCTCCACTGCCCTGGATTCTCTGGGTCACGGCCCTCCTCTGAATCTTGCATTCTTCATGCCTGAGGTTGGCACATGACACCAGCTCTCTCCAGTTGGCGAGGACCCTCCATAACACACATACGGTAAAGCACTGATCACAATGACCTAGGGTGTGCAGAGGGCTAATTCTGATAGACTCAGCGATAGTCTAAAAGTCTTGCTGAGTTTCTGCAGGGCACTGCCCCTGGTCAAGACGGGGCACAAATTCATAAACAGTGCTCTTCGTAACCAGGAACCCAGGGCAATCAGGAGCGGCTTGCGTCTGCCTCCCAACAGTGTTGACGGAGAAAGGTGAGACTGATGAGGGACACCTGGTCTCAGAAAGACCCGCAGGATGTTGCTGTTGAGGCCAGTCTCAAGCAGGGATGTGCCTATGTGACCAGTAATTTTTTTCTTTAAATAAACAGTATAAACTCCATTTTCAGCTCCCTGTTCTAAGGTGTTTTCATGTGGATTATGATGCTTCCTGATCCAAGACAGAAATGGGTTTTCTTGCCTCTTACAGGAGAGAGATGATAGGAGCCTCAACCTGGCCTTTCCATATCTCTTGCTGAGACAGCTTTTGGCTGCGATGTGTCTTTACTTTGATGTAGTTGCTATATTGTATTTTTCCCTGTCATTGGCTGGGGGGGTGGGCTGTGAGTGCTGTTAAACCTTGTTGGTGTCACAAGTGGGATTTCCTGGAGGACTCCTACCCACTCTAAAAATACATATATATATATATATATATATATATATATATATATACACACACACACACACACACACACACACACACAGTTCAGGCATAATTTAGAAAGAAATGTGATTCTGATAAAGGGCTGAAAATTAACGAGATACCCTCAGCTTGAACTAAGACAGACTTCAAAAATGAATACTAATAATAAAATTTTCCAATGAAATCTGGAAATGAAAGAATCTGAACCTCAGGAGCTACAGAAATGGATCAGAAGAAAACCACAAAACAATGTCAGGACAGCTCAGATTTCAGTTCCTTGGTTGGTGTTTTCAGCATTAGCAAGGTAAAGTAAGTTAGAACCTCCTTCAGTTGAGTTGTACCCTGTCTGGTTTGCACTCTAATTTTTGATGAATCAGCTAAACCCATGAGACTCATTACAACAAAGAAGATAATTACAATGGGCTGAGAGCCTGGCAGCACACCTGTCATCCCAGCGGCTTGGGAGGCTGAGGCAGGAGGAGTGTGAGTTCAAAGCCAGCCTCAACAACTTAGCAAGGCCATAAGAAACTCAGCAAGACTCTGTCTCTAAATAAAATATAAAAAGGGCTGGGCTGTGGCTCAGTGGTTAAGTGCCCCTGGGTTCAATCCCTGGTAACAAAAAATAAAGTGGGGTGAGATGACAATGAAAGGGAAGAAGTAGCAGTGAGAGGGATGACTCAGTGGCAGAGCTGAGTCGTCTTTATGTCACTACAGGCAGCACTTTGCTAGACCTTTATGAAAATGGGTCCTGAGAGCTTGGGACCAAGGAGCAGCTTCTGGCTTTGCACACTGCAGGGTGGCGGGAAACTAGGGGCCCACCCCACATCCTCTGTTGGCTGCTACTGTGGGGAGATTCAAGCAGAAGCCCCCAGATTATTGGATGGCTTAACAGAAAGGTCTGTTGTAGCCACACGAGGAAGGGCAATCTTGCTGCCAGCACGTGGGAAGCTATAGAGAGATGGGGAAGCTGGCAGTGTCACCTCAAGGGTGGGCATGGGGTCTTGCAAACTTAAAAAGGGGGCAACACAGGATGTGGCTCAGCCATACAGCACGCGCCTAGCATGCACAAGGTCCTGAGTGCGACTTCCAGCACCCACCCCCAAGAGAGGGAAAGAACTTAAAGAATGAAGCTGGTCAGCTGGTGCACAACTGTGGGCTACCCACTGAGGAGGCCAAGGCTGGAGGCCCACAGGTTCCAGGGCAGCCTGGGAAACGGAGCAAGACCCTGTCTCAAAAGAAAATAAAAAGGGGGCTGGGGATGTGGCTCAAGTGGTAGCACGCTCGCCTGGCATGCGTGCGACCCGGGTTCGATCCTCAGCACCACATACAAACAAAGATGTTGTGTCCGCCGAAAACTGAAAAATAGATATTAAAAAATTCTCTAAAAAAAAAAAAAAAAAGAAAAGAAAAAGGGCTCAGGATATAGGTCAGTGGTACAGTGCCTGTCCGGCATGTGTGAAGCAGTGGATTCCGTCCCCAGCCCTGCAAAACCAAATGAAGGGAGTAAAACTGAGTGTAGTTACAGGCATCTGTAGTCCCAGGGGGCTGAGGGGGGCTCACTTGAGCCACAAGGTTGAGACCAGCTTGGGCAACATAAGGAGAGCCCATCTCTAAGTAAATAAATATATACATACAAAATAATAGAATAAAATAAAAGAGTATTAAATAAAAATAGATTGATTTTTTTGTGCGTGTGCTTGCTTCAGCAGTACATTTACTAAAACTGGAACCATACAGAGAAGATTAGCATGGCCCCTGTGCAAGGATGACATGCAAATTCGTGAAGCGCTCCATATTAAAAAAAAATATATAGAATAATTTTTAAAGGTTAGGTGGTAAGTCACTTTAGAGTTTAATCAGGCAGTCGCCCAGACTTGGGCTGAAAATAGTGCGCACCGTCCTAACTTTGCACCAGGCTCAGGATTGAGCCAGGGCCTTGTGCATGTGAGGCAAGCACTCTCCAGCTGAGCTGCGTCCCCAGCCCTGAGCAGTTCTTCAGTTCACCATTTTCTACTTCAGGATGGAATGATCAGGTAAGATTTGGATCCAGAAGAAGTGATGGCCAAGAATTTTCCAGCCCAGGGCAGGAGGACCACGTCTGAGGCCAACCTGGTTAAGCTAGCAAGACCCTGTCCCACTCAGATTAAGTCTATAGTGCCCGCAGCCCAGCGCTCTCCACAAGGGGGAGGACCCCTGGCCAGTGGTGAACATGGACATGAGCTGGAGGTCGAATGCCAGGAAGTGGGTTTGAAAGAGACTGGCGGCTGTGGAGCAGGCCCTGAGGTGAGAGCAAAGACTGTGCCTCAGCTGAGTGCCACAATTCCAAAAGCAGGCGAGGCCAGCCGCAAATTAGAAGAGACAGCAGAAGCCCCGCGACTACCATGTTGGGATTCCCACTTCTACATTCCCTCACTCAAGCACTACAGAGTCAGGGCTGGGCTGTGGCTCAGTGGTTGAGCACCTGCCCAGCTGTGTGAGCCCCTGGTTCCATCCTCATTACCTGGGGAGAAGAAAGAGAGAAAGAAAGGAAGGAAGAAAGCTTTATGGTTTATGGTGGGCGTGGCAGGCCAGGAGTCCCAAGGACTCAGGAGGCTGAGGTGGGAGGATCACTGAGCCCCCAGTTCAAGACCCCCCAGGCAATGCCATAAGATCTTGTCTCAAGGAAGGGAAAAGGGAGGGGAGGAGAAAAGAAGGCAGTCAACAAAAGATCGGTATCATGTGATGGCATTTGTGTAACATGCTCAGAAAGAGAGGGAGAAGCAAGTGTCAACGGGGAGGCGGCCAGCGGAAGGAAGAAAAGAGGTTTGTCGTTCTAACCAGCTGTACTGGACAGCAGCAGGCATTTCGGCTCACTGAACACAAATGGAGCACGACTTCAGTTCTCTGGTTGTGCATGATGTAAGGTCACCCATTTGTGCAATCATGTGTGCCTAGGGTAATGATGTCCGCCTCATTTCGCCATCTTTCCTACCCCTTCCCCCTCCTCTTCCCTGCCTCCCTCTTGCCCCATCAAAGTCCCTCCTTCCTCCCATGCCCCCCCATTATGGATCAGCACCCTCCTATCAGAGAGAACACTCAGCCTTTGGTTTTTTGGGATGGGCTGACTTCACTTAGCATGATATTCTCCAACTCCATCCATGTCCTGCAGATGCCATGGTTTTATTCTCTCTTAATGCTGAGGAATATTCCACTGTGTATATATTCCACAGTTTCCTTAGCCATTCCTGCCAAGAGGCTTCTGTGAGGGGAAATGAAAACTCTCCACAGCTGGAGTATGGTGATGGTCGCACAGGCTGCGAATACCCAGACACCCCCAGGGACACTTTCTGCACACTGAGAGGGGACTGCAGACACCGATTTTTCTTTTCTTTTTTTTTTTTTTAAGTCAGGATTTCACAAAAGAAAGGAAATCAGTTTTAGGCTTTCATCATGTGGTGATCTTTTTTTATTTTTTTTTAAATTTTTTTAGTTGTTGATAGACCTTTATTTTATTTATTTATATGCGGTGCTGAGAATCGAACCCAGTGCCTCAAACATGCCAGGCAAGTGCTCTACCACTGAGCTACAGCCCCAGCCCCTTATGTGGTGATCTTTATTAGTTTTATTTTATTTACTTATTTGTGAGTCAGGATCTCACTCTTTTTTTGTACCAGGATTGAACCTGGGGCACTTAACCACCAAGCCACACTCCCAGCCCTTTTTTATATTTTGTTAGAGACAGGATGTCACTGAGTTGCCGAGGCTGGCAATGAACGTGCAATCCTCCTGCCTCAGCCTCCGGAGCCACTGGGATTACAGGTGTGTGCCACCATGCCCGGTTCAGAGTCTCACTTCCTGGACTTGAGCAATCCTCCTGCCTCAGCCTCCCGAGTAGCATGGACCAGCAGCACCACCGCACCCCCCCCCACAAGGCAGGCAACTGACAGAGTGCTACACAAACCTGGATAGGATTTCACAGGAATAGAGGCTGTCTTAACTCTCCTCAGAGTCTCTACGATGTAAAATCCCAAGGCTCAGAACAAATTTCAAAAAGAAAAGTTACCCAAGAGTCTACAGATCAGGTAACCAAACACCTGCTTAGGTAAGGCAGCAGTACCTCCCTGCACTTGCAGGTCTGCTGGAATACTGAGATTGCTTAAAAACAAACAAACAAACAAACAAAAAACGTTAAGTGACTTTTCATATTTATAAAACAAGATCAAGGCAGAAATAGAGTGTAAGGATTGACAGGAAGGTCAGGATCTCTTGACCCCAGTGCCAGAGGGGCCACGGCCATTCGGGTATGCACCAAATGGTCAGGGTGGAGAAGAAAGTCAAGTTACTGTGTTCAAGGACACAGCACGCAGCACTGCCAAGGCCTGCTCACAGGCAAAGGAATTAATTTAGGGACTATGCAGATGCTGATGTGAAAGGAATTATTTAAAGTCCACGAACAAGCTAGAATATGTGATCCGTTAACTTTGTGCTGGGGTGGTGTCTCCTACCTGAATGCACAAGGGGTATGGATCATGTCTGAGGAAAGGTCTCCCCCTGCTGGGTAAGGTGAATAATGAATGACAGGCACGTCTAGGGCGAAGGAACGGACATGCGGAATGGGAGTCTTTCAAGTCACCTAAGCCAGTTCAAAATAGCAAATTGGAAATTATATCAGATACTTGGAGAACAATGAAAAATTGTTGCGCTAATTGGGAAACACGAGATGCCCACACACTTGCTCAAGATACCCAGTGAGGACCAGGAGTAATACTAGCAGATCATGGGGATTTGGGGTCGACTTCAAAGGCCTCGATGAACAGCACTCCAAAAGCCTCAGGAGCCCCCATGGGCAGCAGAATGTCCAACTCATGCAGCTAACCGAGCGTGGCTGGTGTGCCACACCTGACCTGGCTAATGGATTCTTCTCCTCATAATTTGCAGTGACATGGAACAGTCTACAACATCCACCTATACTACACCTCTTGAGAGACCTTTGAACTCTCATGGACCTTGTCCCAAGTCTGGTAATGTGGGACCTAGAGCTCATACAACTGAGCGTTGTTCTAATATGCTAAATTGGTGATATGACCATCTGTGAAACAGGCCACATTAAAAGCAACTTCATTAAGGTCATAGATCACGTAATTGATCAGGGGTGGTTGATTAACGGCAAAACTCCAGGCCCGTGCAGACTGTAACGTGGGAGAAATTCATCACAGTTTGGGGTTTGGAGTGACCTAGAAGACACCACACTCAGAGCCCTGGGACAAGGAGTCAGTTGTTAGGGCTTTTCCACACCCGGCCGAACAGGAGGCTCCGTGCCTAGCAAACCAAGCGGGGTCCCACGGTTGGGCCCTATCATTGGCCTCGACACACGAGACCTCTCCTACTCTCACTCCCTCTTGCTCACGCTGGGCTTGAACTCCTGGGCTGAAGTGAACCTCCCGACTCAGCCTCCCGTGCAGCTGGGACCCCAGGCGCAGGCCACCACAGCTAGCGTGCACGTGGAGTCTTTGATTGACACAACAGCAGCACACCTTCGGCTCGGCCCAGCCTGCTCCATCAGCACCCTACAATCCTACCGCTGAAATCTCATCACATGGCTGCCTCTTCCTCCCACCTGGCGTTTCCAGCAAAAGCCTTAGTGGCTCTTCAGTGATGACCTCCGAGCTCCTGGACTACAAGATCACTGCACTCTGCTCTCTGCTGTGCTCTTATTGATAAACAGTCACTGTCCTGTTACTGGGCACTTACCTGCCCCGGTACCTGAAGGACACAGAATTACATTAAGACCTGAGTTAGGGCCTCCAGATGGGAGGGGAGAGACGCAAGATGGCACAGCCACCAGCTCCAGCTCCAGCCTCCCCTAGTCGACTGCCTGACCTGGTGGTAACCCCTCTGGTTTACCTCTGGATGTGTTCAGAGCAGATGAACTAGCTGAGAAACTCACACTGAGAAGAATTCCTTATTTGGGAGAAACCCCTGCCCATCACAAACACCCGGAGTTAGTTTTCCTGAGAGATCGTAACACTACACCTGGCGCTTTCTTAGGTCACATTTGGCGGAGCCTCACAGGCCACAACAAAGTCCCACCAATTCCACAGTGTCATCTGGGGCTTCCATGAGGGCACACACTGTGCGTGAGGCCTCAGACATTGCCATCAGCTGTGAAGGAGATGAAGAGGACTGGAGAGGATGATGGACTCCTGGGCCTGTTGGGTGTCCAGAGGGAGAAGCCAAATTTGATAACCCGACAGAGTACAACCCTGTCCACAGCAAGCAGACTTCCACCTTCACCGTCGAGGAGGGAATCTGGACATTCAGAGACCAAAGAGGAAAAGGAAGAACTCATAGGCGGCTTTCAGTGAGGAGGATGAGGTCACCCACCCGCAGGGGCAGGTCCCTCAGTTGGCCATTTCCAGAACAGCCGTCTTGGGGAAGCACAGTGGGTAGAGGGCCCTGGCTCCCTGGACCTGGAGGAGTCAGGGAGCAGGCGCATGCAGAGCTCTTCTTCAGTGGAGGACTCTACACTGCCCCCACACTTGGTGACACAGGCTCCTAGCCGGGGGCATTCACAGGATAGCACTCATGGTGGCTTGCCACGATATACCGGGCCCTTGCCCGCCTCTGAGGTGGACTGGACTCCCACCGTGCCATCACAGCGAACGTAACCCCACACCAAGTGGCAGTCTATGGCCCTGGGCTATAAGAGAGCCCAAGAAGATGTGTCAGAGGTGTGGCCGGCGAGAAGCCCACACCCTCCCACTGAGCCGAGGTGCTGGTCACGGTGGAGGGTGGCATCCAGTAGGAGTGGGGTGGCAGGT